CCTCCTGAGTAGCTGGGATTACAGGCATGCGCCACCATGCCCAGCTAATTTTTTGTATTTTTAGTAGAGACGGGGTTTCACCATGTTGACCAGGGTGGTCTCGATCTCTTGACCTCGTGATCCACCCGCCTTGGCCTCCCAAAGTGATGGGATTACAGGTGTGAGCCACTGTGCCCGGCCTAATTTTTGTATTTTTAGTATTGACGGGGTTTTTACCATGTTGGTCAGGCTGGTCTTGAATTCCTGACCTCAGGTGATCTACTCGCCTCGGCCTCCCAAAGTGCTGGGATTACAGGTGTGAGCCACCGCGCTTGGACAAGACAGGGTTTAGATCCTGGTCTGCTGTCACTGTGTGGGAGGCAATGGAGAGAACACCCCTCTACCACAAGTGCAAACCCACTCCCCCGACCAGCTCTGCTCTTTCCTCTTCAACATGAAAGAGAAAGATCTGAAACTTCTGATGGCTTAAAAACAAACAACAACAACAACAAAACAACAACAAAAGAAAACGTATTTTAGGGTTACTTTCACAGCAAAGAAAAAGTTTTTTAAAGTTATCCTGCTATTTACATGTTCATATTTTAAAAAGGATAATCCACTGATGTCAGAAGGGAGAGAGGAATTAAGGGTTTACACTGCAGGGGGAAATGTACCTCGAGGTATTATTTTGTGTGAGACAGTTGAAACGTCAGGATCTTATTTTATTTTTTTGTCTTTTGTTTAAAGGCAATCTAACAGATTGGAACCCTGATAAGATCATGCCTGCGCAGCCATGCACAGGCACGAGGAGACTGTGATCAAGTCTGTTACTCGTTACAGTACTGTGAACATCAACAACAAGAATTGCTGCATGGAAAACACTGAATATAGGCAGAACAATCTCTCACTTACGATACTGTGTGTTGCAAATAGTGCCTAGACCAGAGCAATGCAGGCGCCATGATTTATCACAGGCAAGGTCAACAAAGGAATTGTTAGGATGAAGAAGAGACTGCATGCAGGCCTCCCCTGTCAAACACTCACAGCTCACTGGCTTCATACAGCCTGCCAAATGCAAGGGAAGCAGAGAGAGGGATGGTGCGTAGGGAAGAGAAAACTTTCTTGCCTGCCCAGCAACAGCCCTCTTCCCCACAGAGCAGGACAGTTCCTTACAACTAAGAGTAAGTTCACTTAAAAATGATTACAAAGGAAGAAAGAAATATTTAAAAAAAGAGAGAGGAGGAGGAATTTTTCAAAATTGACCTAAAGATGAACTTTCAGGTCAGCACGAGTGAGGCATGGTTTCCTGAGCATGAAGGGTTCTGAGTTCAGGACAGGATGAGTACTTTTTCCAGAGAACACTGGAGCCTGTGGACTTCCACTGCTGCCCTGGATTAACACTGCACGGCTAGGATCGAGAATCCCAAGCCACAACGGTCGACAGGAACTGCAGGCCCCCTGGAATTTAACCTGGCCATCAGACCTGCCCGCAACAGTGGCAAGAGGACTCGGAGGTCTCTTTCTACCTCGCTGTGCTGACCTTACCACATCATCTCTTGCTCCCCTTCCCCTCCAGGACACGGGGACACCATGGACACAGAAACTGGAGAACAGGATACAAAGCCACTCCCTTCCCTTTTCTGCCCTCTCTTCCCCCCACTTTTGCAGAATGCATAGTTACAAATTCACCTTACAACATAAAGAAGCGACGATGACCACATGTGGGACTTTTTTTTTTTTTTTTTTTTTTTGAAAACAGAAAATCCAACAACCTCTTCTTAAATTCAGTATCAAAATTCACATTTGCATAATAATACATTTCAAGGCCATGAGAGAGGAATTAGAGCAAAGCGCAGAAGCAGCATCTCTCCTCCCTGTGTCTTCCTGAATGAAGCTGAAGGAATCGAGCGGGAGGGACTGTCTTCCTCTTTGGGGGAGTTCTGAGGAATCATGGAAATGGCCCTTAGCATTTGCTTGGTATTTCTTTAGAAGATAGGAGTGGGAGAAGAGGTGAAATTGTTTAAAACATAAAAACAAATGAAGAGACACTGCAGACTTCTGTGTTAAACTATCATAGCTCTGAAGAAATAAAACATGATTGCAGATTTTTCTCATTTCTCAAGCACTTCAATCTTAACTCTTCAAAACCCTGTTTGCATCAACAGCAACATGACGTGACGCCCATGTGGGAACAGAATGGCCGCCTCAGGACACAGACTCAAAGGGTAAAAGTGTGCTGCCCGCTCTGCACATGGCAGAAGCTGGAAAACGCCTCATTTACGTGCATGAATGTGTCACAAGTATCACCATATTCCAATTCTCCAGTGCTTACAGAAAAACAAATAATAAAACAGCCATAGCCACATGAGCACAAACATACACACAGAGAAAACTAGGGAATGCAGATGTATAAACCTGCGCTCTTGGACTAACCTGGGTCTGCAGCACCTGCGCACCTTCCCCTAACTGTCTCCTCCCCCCAGTCCCAGAATCTCTTCCACACAACTCTACACTGTGCAACACTGATGCTAATGAAATCTCAACAGCTGCCCCTGGGACTTTCCAGGAGAAACTGTGACTTCCCTAAAGACTTAAGCTGACCATCTTTTCGTTTGTATCCAATGGATAGCCTCTTCTGAAAACAGACGGTCTCTGTACTCACAAAGGCACATTCAGAAATACTATACTTAAGTAATTCCTTAGACAAAACTAAAAAAGGGGGGCGGATGGTGTTTTAAACACATGTGTTCTATCTTATCCCCAAACTTCTGGCAAGAGGTGTCACACTAAAATGCATCACTTGGTGAGAGACTATACTACCTTTAAAAGGTAGGTCACTTCTTAAAGGGTTCCAAAGGTTTTTATTTTGTTTTGCATAAATACCCACCTTTTCCATTTTTGGCGAATACACATAGGATATACTGTCCTCCTCTCTGTAAAGCTCTGCTGTGGGGCTAGTCCTGGCAGTAAGGCTGCCCCACCTCGCCTCCAGTCAACTTTTACACCCACCCCTCTGGGAGCTGTGCACACCTTTCAGTAGCCAAAGGAGAAAGAATGCCAGATTCCGGAGGGCAGGAGGGAAAAAAAAGCACTTCATTTCACAGCTCTGCTACAACAGCATCATAAGCCACCTCGACAACTTGCTTTTGCTGCTCGCTGTGAGCAGTAAAGAGAAATTTCCCTTTCTGAAAACAACAACTACAAAAAAAAAAAAATCCCAACTTATACACATATATATATTTTAATCATCCTTGACTTTGAAACTTATTGATATTGGCTAGACATGGGTCAATTACAATTGGGAATTTATTTCCAAAGCAATGATTTATAGTTTGAAAACGAGGTTGACACTATTTCTTTTTTTATTTAACATAGAATTCCCCTCCCATGAACAAAAAAAAGCATTGGTCACAGTGAAGAACTGGTGACTGAGCTTTGCAAAGACCCCTTGGCCAAGGTACCATCTGTCCTGGCCGTGTACAGTTTCTCGTTAAAAACAAATTCAGGTATATAGCTAATTCAAGGGGGAACGATTTAAATTCTGTGAGGCAAACACTGGCAGATTCTGCAACTTTAGTTACTTTTTTGGGAGGCAGCAGGAGGTTGTGACAAGAGACTGACAGCTTAAAAACTACTCACGTTAGGGGTATGCCACAATCACTAGGGATCTGGTCCCAGTGGCCACACGCGTGAGGGCAGTGTGGGTGCTGAGCTGCTGGAGGAGTAGCTCCCCACTCCCTGGCCAGTGTTCCCCCTTTACCACCCCGTAGACGTTCACGGCCCCTTTCTTCAGAGGCACGGGGTAGGGAGGGATGGTGAGCAGGTGAGGGAGGGTCGATGTTGAATTTTATTAAGTTATTACTATGTTCATAGATTCTTGGAGCTGATAATTATTTCAAATCTAAAGAATGTGGTATTACCACCCCCTTTGTCAAATTTAAGATCAAGAAAAAAACGCTATCACTGACACGTAGGGACCATCTCTGAAAATACACACGCCTTCGGTGCTGGCCACAGACTGTATCACAGGGTGTGCGCCAACTCTGGAAATCTAGATAATATTCTGTTTTCTTACAGAATGACAATGTCTTCAACAGCATTATGTACATTTACGTGTTTCTTGACTCCCTGGCAGGACTCCCTGCAGTTGCAGATAAAGAAGGGGGTAGGATGTGGCGTGCGGCAGGGGTTGTGGGTCCCTATTTCTCAATGACCATGAGGTCTGAAGACTGACAATTCATTGTGTACACACAGGCTAGAATATTTTCATCTGCATTATCACGTGGCCGTAGTTGTACATACACAGGAGGAAAAACACAACTAAAGAACAAGGATTTTTTTTTTGTAGTAACACTAAGAAGTGTAGTTAATGCATACACATGAAGTGTGACAACACTTGGCAAAAACACTGGAGAGGAAAGTTTGATTTTTTTTAACCAGCTAAAAATTTATCTTACTCCTGAAGACCTTACAGATACTTAAAAACAAAACCAAAAATCTCAAATCTAAAACAATAACCTATAAAGCTTTAAATGTTGAATTTTAACCCTGAAGATGGGAAAAAAGGGATCTTTTCTATATAAAGACTCGATTGTTCCCTAATCTTAGAGATGGCTATTACAGCCAAGTTTGCTGAACACATCCTGTTTACTCTGCAGGGAAAAACAGGCTTGGCGTAAGCATTTTGCTCAGCACGCAGACATTTTCTTTCTGTTTTAGAGAAGAGGCAAGATGGTAGAATATGAAACATGAGATTTAAAAGTACACAGCATTTGAGGTCAAAATGGAATCTGGCTGTTTACCCTACAAAAATCACACCCCCCTCCAAAATAAGTAGTAAAAATGAGTGAATATTTGCAAAAAGTTAACAGCCCATGAACTTTCAGTTTCTGAGAGATATATGTATTAATAAAGGTGCTTCCAAATGCTCAGGCAGGGGTTTTATCTTCTCCTTTCTTTTTCCTCTTGTGTATCTTATATGCCATATTCAACCCACAGAAGTTTGGAAGAACCGATTGCTAACTTATGCTACATTCATGTCAGAAGAGGTGGGAAAATTCTTAGAACAGGAGCCATACTACTAGAAAATCAAATTGCTATAAATAAAACTAACTGGCAATAGATAGATAATGATTTATTGCGGGGACACTGATTAAATAATTTGGTTTGGAACCTTAATTTGCAACATTGCTTAGTTAACTCCTGTGAATGTTGTAAATGAAACACGTCCAAGGGTAGGGACTGAGGGACCAGAGATGTTCCATGAGCCGTCCATTTCTTCACAGTGTCTCAGAGAGCTGAACTTTTTTCAACCCCTAAAGTTAGGTCACAGCACTGGATCTAACTGACAATAGGGGTCCTCTATCTGCTGTGAGACACCCCTTTCACTATTAGTGCTTCTTTTCTTTTGGTTGCTCATGTGGTAGGTAGGAACGAAGTCTGTGATGTTCAAGAGTTGTACACATCTCTAGCCACTAGTCATCAAGTGTTTTAAAAAAGAATTAACTAGTGAAAAAAAAAAAAGGAAAGCTCAAATTAACAAAATCAAAATGTTTTAAAAATAAATCTACATAATGAGAGGTGACCAGCAAGCCTGTATCTATGCCAGAGTGTGGTGGAAGAGAAGGCACTCTCACTGAATTTTCTAAGTGTACTGAAGTCACCTAACCTCTTAGTAGACATGGCTCTTGCCAAAGAACACCATGGGAAGAGCTCTCTCTCCCATGATATCCTCACTATATCCTGTTCTTAGGTCACTGCCAACCAATAAAGCAAAGCTCCCAGCAAGCTGACAAAAAGAAGGGGGAGGTCTGGGGGAAAGGGGGAGGAGACAAAGGACAAGAGCAGAACAACAGGAACCCCTTTCTATTGGCCCAACATGAAGAGACTTTCCAAATCACCGCGGTTGTCACAATTACACACCCGGAGAAGTCAATGCACGGTAATGGAGGGCGCACGACACAAGGAAGGAACTTGGCATTCCACATTATTGAGACATAAAAGCCTATTTAGCTTACTTGACATTTGTTTGTTTATTTTAAATTTAGCCCACTGCCTTTGGGGCCTGTCCAGAACCACTCCAATTTCCTTTCCGGGCAAGTATCTTACATTTGTGGAGTGACTGGACCGCATGCACACATGCATGCGCCTCCCCCTGCTCAGGATGTCTGGGTGTATGTACAAAGGCACTAAAGTGGTTTTAGAGAAATTGCAGGCAGCAACCCCACCCACTCCCTTTACCTGTCGAGCTGGAGTTTCTTTCCCACTGGGAAGCTTAATGTTTAAAAGAAGCTGTGGTCACGCTTGGGAATTCTGACCCCTGGCCCCAGGAGGGAATACAAAAGAATTCAACATCACCAAAAACTGAAAGGAAATACTCCACACCTCCAGCTAAGGGATGGGGATAATTAAGCAGCAGATCTTCAAAACAGCAATTAAAACGAGCACAACAGTAGCTGGGAGCTAAAAAAGTAAAATCACTTGTTCCTTATTAGATTCTTGTATATGTTCTCCTCCTCCCATAACAAACGGAGATAAGACAGACATTCTTCATTAATAGAACAGTCCATAGATAATTTTCCTCTAGTAATGCCTATATTTAAAATTTGTTCCAAAAATTATTAACCTATATTTCCTAACTCTTTACATAGATTCTCAGCAATCCAACTGTACTATTTTACAGATTAGAGTTACTTATTTTTTTAAGCTGTTGTTTCTTCCTTCCTTCCTTTCATTCTTTTGTTGCTGGGGTTGTGGGGACAGGGAGAAGGGGTCCTTTAAAAAAATAAAAATTACTAGTGGGGATTTCAGTTCAGTCTTAAATGGAAAGGAACAAAGTGATGGCATTCTCATCTGTGTACACCAAACGCTCTCCAATTAAACTACACACAACTCCAAACAAATCCATGATTGAGCTCTTACAAAGCTTAATCCTTCTCCCATATTTTTAAGATAATGAATTTACCTGTTGCTGCTAAATTGATAATTTTTAAAAAATATTTCTATGTGTTTTAAAATGATTCCCCAGTATGACAATAATGTTTGGAGACTTTTCTTTTTACATTTTTTAAGTAAAAATTGTTTAAACTTTTTGAAGTTTCAGGAACTTGTAAAAGTTTATTAACAGGAAAGAAACAGCCATCTAACTAGGATAAGATACGGTTAAACAAACCATCTTCAAAAAACTGGCTTCCTACCCTAGAATTCCTGAGAATGCTTGCAAATTTTAAAGCAGGAAAATAAATGTTAAAAACAGAAACAAAAAACACTGTTAAATGCTCCCAGAGTTAGTCTTCATCTAAAATATATATTTATATGTATATATATAGATATATATATATACGCACTTTTTGGTCTTTTTTTTTAAAAGTTTTTAGTTTTTTTCCCTTTAAGCTTATGATGGAAGAACATTTTAGCTTCTCATGTTTATTTTTACATATTTCAAATCCCTCATTATGTCTTGTAAACAAGAGGGGCTCTAGCACCCGGCTTTCACCGTAGTATCGTAAGGAACTCAACTAACCCATAGTGCAGGTCAAGGAACCAACAGGCAGGAGGAGAGGTGGGCAGGGCAGGACACAGCAGTGAACCAAGAGCGGCAGTGGACAGGGTCACCACTGGCTCGCGGGAGCCTGGGGACATGCTCCCGGCCCAGGGACACTACGATTTAGCCTTCTCTAGATGTCTGAAAACAAGCTGCTCTTCACCTGGTGGCCACCGCTTGACAGCACTTTGCTCCACACAGAGAGCAGTCAGTGGGGGCTGCTGGAAGATCTTTTGTATGGGGAACAGTGGTGGAAGGGGCACGGTGGTGATTCAAATTGGAAAGCAGGAAGAGGGCATGCTCAAGGCACCCAGTGGGGCCGAGTCAACGCTGCAGACGCCAAGTGTGACCACCTACCCACAGAGGGCTCATGCAGGCTTGTACACGTGAACGCTCACTTGAGTCATGCCTGTCAATCTCTTTTGAGGCTAGGTTTATAATCAACAGGGTAACCCAGAAGGGCTACAGAATTTCCCATTCTTTGTCTCACAAAACCACTGAAATGCAAATAACTTGTTTTAGGCTTTTCCTATACACACCCACTCACCCATCTACACACAGACACAAGCTAAGTCAAATACATTAGACATTGTTGTATCCTTCACTGAAGATGCTAAAGAAAGAAAAACTCCCTTGTCCTCAATAGCAGCAAGTTACAGAGGACAGTAGAGGTCTGCTCCCACCAAGGATTGGAATGGGCAGGTATTTGCTGGTACAAAATGTCGGCACTTTATGTTAAACAGTATAATGCAGACTGGGATGTCGACACAAGTGCTAGCACATCGCCGGCATACATCCCCCCACCCCATCTGCTTTGTACCCCCCTTCAGGTCTGCTGTAATTCTCTTCACAATAAGCGGTTTGATACATTTTGATTCCAACATAAGTACATACATGTTGGTGATAACTATGGATTAAACGCTGCCCCCTGTTCAGCCCAGAGTACTACTACATTGATGCTTAAAAAAAAAAAAAAAAAGGCTTTAAATATCGAAATAAAAAAAGCAAAATTACAAGAGGGCCGGGGGGAAAGAGGTCAAAACCAAAAAAAAGGTGCAATACTTAAAAGTCTTTGCTAAGTTATACCTGCCTAAGCAAAATCACATACACAGGAAATACACAACACAGAGAAACGAAAGGAAACGCTTGAAGTACACACTGGTTTAAGAACATTCGTTAAGTAAACGTTTCTGTCAGTGATGGCCTGGTGCTGTAACACGCCGCGGCCTGGCACAGGTAACGCTCGGCGAGAGAGGAGCAGAGGGAGTAGCTGCAGATGCTTTCAGGAGGCTGCTCACTACTTATTATTTTCTGTTTTCATAAAATGAAAAAGAGAACCAACCAACAGAAATACTTCACTTAGTTTTTTGATGAATTTCCCAAACCTCTTCATAAGGAAAGAGGGAACATGGTTTTTCTGTTTTTGAGACATCGTATAACCAAAAACTATCTTCCATTCCCATTCAAAGTAACGAAAAGGCCTGCATGAAACTTAACAAATACTCAGATGTGCCTGGTGGCCATTCACTTTAAAAAAACAGAAATAAACACACAGCTGCTCCACGAGGTACCTCCTGCACTAGTTTTTTTGGACTTGGCAGTGCTCCACTCTACTGCTAGGTCAAAAGAACAGCCAGAGAAACCCCGCATTCAGGCTAAAGTTGCAAATGGAAAGGAACTCCCTGCTTTATCATTAAAAAGCGCTCTGTTCATCTTAGTGCAGCCCAATGGAGTTGCTTTAGTAGCAGTGGCTCTCCGGGCCTGTGTGTTCTCATAGTTAAAAAAAAAAAAAAAAAAAAATGAAATAAAAAGCAGATGGCCGGCCAGCCAGCCTGCAGACTGTCAGCGATGCAGCTTTCTGAGAAGTCGGGGTAGGGCGGCGGGAGAAGGGAAGAACACAGGTACACACACAGAGACAGAGAAGGATGCACGCGAATGCACATGAACACACGTGCACACACACACCAGAACGAGCATGCCTGGGCAGTTACATGTGCCAGAACACACTGGTATTTATCAACCAGCCAATCACAAATTTTTTCCTTTTTCTCTTTTGTTTTTTTTTTTTTTTTTTTTTTTAGGTTTTATGTGTTTTTGTTTTTAAAGTGAGGCTCCGTCAAGTCTTCCCTCCCCCCTCCCCCAACAATTCTTTTGAATTTCCCTCCCTCCCAAAACATGGTAGACCTAAGGACGGAAACACACCCAGTGCAAACAAAGTTAAAAAGCTATTTTTTTTTCAGTATATATGTTTCTTAGCAACAACTTCCATATAACATGAAAAAAGTGAAAAACTAGAAACTAATTTTTTTAATTTTTTTGTGTTTAAATTTAAATGGTATGTGTACTTGCTTCACATTGTCTTTCTAGGTTGGCGTTCATGATTCAAGTATTTCAAGAGTGATATGTTCTCTTTTTGGATTCATATTCCAAACGAAAAAACTGAAGTTATAAGGGAGGCAACTATGTGCTCAGACAGTCTGTCAATGACCCACCTTTTTTTCTCTCCGTTTTCTTTTTTCCTTTTAAAAATGTATTTATTGCAAGTTGAAAAAAAAAACGAAAAGGTCAAGTTAGTGCTGCTGCTGTTCCAAAAAAGGTCACGAGGTCAGAGTTGAAAGTTCTAAGTTCAGATTGAATCCGACCCTCCTCCCAGAAGGTCACCAGGTAGTAAAGGAGCAGGGCTGCCCATCCTATGGGGATCTTCCACCGTTGGGACTCCCCATAAGCTAGAAGAATAGTTTGGGGGCCCCCACAACGAAGCGCCAGCAAGATCGGCCCCGCTGCTGCCACCAGCGCTGCTGCTCCACTGCCCGAGCCCAGTGGACCCACCGAAAAGATTCAGAGCAGGTCCCACAGGATCTGACTGGTTCTGGCCGGTCTCCAGCGACTGCCACCCTGCGGCTGGCGCACTCGGGGTTGCTGCAGGTGTAGGGGGCTGAGCTTGTGCCAGAAAGCGGCTCACTTCATCATCAGTGGCAAACTCAGCAAGGATGGTAGTGTTTCCCAACACACACCTGGAAGAAGGGAGGGAAACAGAGCCATGGATCTGAGGAAAATCCTAAAGCACAGGAAGGAGTGAGTGCTCAGTCCTTGCCATTCAATGTGTGGTCCTTTGACTAGATGCTGCCATATCCATAAATGCTTTTTAGAATGCAGGGTTCGGGCTCCACCCAAGGCCTCTGGGTCCAGAACCTGTATTCCAACCAGACTGCTAGGTAAGTGAGAAGCAACAAGGCATCACCAAAGCTCAGGATAACCAAGGACTACTAGGGAATACCATATTCAGATATTTCTTGGTGTATGGGATTTATATAATCTAGCAACTTATCTATCCAGAAGAACATGTGTGTCTGTGGAGGGGCCAAGAGGGATGAACTGGCAGAGCACTCTGATACTGTAATGGTAGATAGCTGCCATTATACATTTGTCTAAAACCATACACCGTACAAGAGCAAAAGTGAACTCTAATGTAAACTGCAGACTTTTGGTGGTAATGATGTGTTCAGCAAATTGTGACAAATACACCACTTTGGTGGAGGATGTTGAAAATGGTGGAGGCTATTCATGTGTGGCAGCAGGAGATATATGAGAAATCTTTGTTTCTTCCTCTCCATTTTGCTGTGGATCCTAAAACTGCTCAAAAACAAAATAAAGCCTTACATAAAAAGGAAAGAAAAATAGTCTCTTTTTCCCCCTATGTGAATTATGAGGCAAAACTCATATCCAAAGCATCAAAGCAACCTGGCTTTGGCCCCTGGAAGTGCTGCCTGAGCCTCCCCGTTCCTGGCTTGCAGTGTATCTAGCTTTCTGTCATGGCATCTGCAGCCAAGGGCAGCCAGCTCTTCTCTGTCCACCAGTTTGACAGTGGCAGGGAAGGGGATGGCCAAGATCTGATCTAGTCCCACCTAATTTAAGCAAAGACCCTGCTACCCACCAAGACCACAATATTTCATCATCTACAAAGAGGCTAGAGTAAGCAGCTAGATTCTATTACGAAAAACAATGGTGCTGATATGAGCTTTGTTTTACGTTATGTAGAATTTACTCACTACTTCACAAATTATTTACATTTGGAATTCTGATGACTGGCCGCTGATATACCCAGGACAATCCAAGCTTCGGTAGAAAGGACCTGGCACCTGAGCACTTGAGACCTGCAGAGGCACGTGTGAGGTGCCATTCTCTATGTCTGTGCTTGTGCATCTTTAGTTCAGCAGCTGCCAGAATACTCACAGGTGCATCTTCATGTATGTTTGTCTACGTGGTTACAGGACGGAATACTCACATGTGCAGTGCAGTTTGGGCTTTGGCTGCCTCCTGTTTGGTGCTGTATCGGATCAGGGCAGTGCCCTGGGTTAGATTCAGATGGAATGTCAGCAGTGGGCCATGCTGCATGCAGATCGTTCTCAAGGTTGACCCATCAATCTAAGAAGTAATGACATTCATGAGATAAGGAATGGAGGAGGGGTGAGAAAGGTAAATTTTAAGATACTCAAAGCACTGGCTGAGACCTAGTGTGCCCATTTTGCAAATAGAATTTGTATAAATGCAGCTCAAAACAAAAGCATATGATTCAGCCTGTGGTCTGTTTTCTTTAGGACATAAACAGGTGGGAGTGTGTACATTTGCGGAGCCAAAAAAGGGCAGAAATGAGATGGCATCCACATACGAATGTAAGTTAACACTCTTAGCATCACTGCTCATCTTGAATATCTGATCATTTAAAATGCTGATGGCTGACCTAGTTCACAGCCTATCCAACACTGTCTTACCCCCTACTTTGCCCATCTCAACGTGAGACTATTTCTGCCTACTTCTCTAAGTCCTCTGCTGACATCAGGCATTTTGATCGAAGGCTGTACTCCTCGTCCCAGTTAGACTTTCACCACTTAAGACCTTCAGGAATCAGGGACAATTTTCCTAACCTGTGAAGTTGAATGAATAAACTTATTCCCTCTATCTGATTAATTTATTTTGCATTAAGATCTTAAATAGGTATTTAAGATCAGTTCATCATTTCAGTTCACTTCTTTGGAAGATAAACAGATTACTGTTGGATTGCTTAAAAAGCTGTGCTACTGGTGGCAGCAGCAGACACCCTGCAGGATGGAAACCGGCAGTTTCTTGGTCTTACTGACTTTTCTGTCACCTAGGCTGGGGAGACGATTTGCTCTAATAACCTTTTAAGCTATGATAGAGATTAGTCCGCTCTTAGGAAGATTTGATTTTTAAAATTAATTCTAACACAAACACAGCCACCTCCATATTCATTTATATGAATATATGTGTATACTTAACATTTTTCTTTTTTTTTTTTTGACACAGTCTCGCTCTGTCACCCAGGCTGGAGGGCAGCGGCACGATCTTGGCTCACTGCAGCCTCTGCCTCCCGGGTTGAAGCGATTCTCCTACCTTAGTCTCTCCCGAGTAGCTGGAACTACAGGTGCACGCCACCATACCCAGATAATTTTTGTATTTGTAGTAGAGATGGGGTTTCACCATGTTGGCCAGGCTGGTCTGTAACTCCTGACCTCAGGTGATCCACCTGCCTCGGCCTCCCAAAAGTGCTGCGGTTACAGGCATGAGCCACTAAATCCAGCCAGCATTTTTGTAAGATAGAACAAGTGAACAGCTGATTAGCCTTCCCAGGCTCCTTTCAAAACAGTGTATCCCTTATTGCTTCTCTCATTCTAATCATACCATAATCACCACATTGTGCGACAACTCTTAGGAAACAGAAGGCATACATAGTTTTGAGGATGGTCATACAGAATTCTTCATACTTTAGTATTAGCTAAAGAAATAACTTGGAACTTTGAGCTGAGTTGATTAGATACAGAGATTAAGTGGTAACCCACATCCTCCCTCATGTTAACTGTATGCAGGAAACTGTTTATCTCAATGTACACCTTGAAATACGGGTCCTGTGATTTACTCTCTATGAATGGGCAAATGTATTTAGGATATGTCTTTTCCTACAGAGAATCATAATATGTGTTAGCATATTAAAAGGTCTAAGAAGTCTCAAAGTGAAGAGATCTGCTTAGTTTTGTTTAAGCAAGTATACATGTCAAACACATTAGACCAGAGACTGAATATCTCATGGACACTCTGGAACATGTTGGCTTAATAAAATGTACATGAATCCACGTATTAATTAAATGCCAGACAATGCATTCTACGTGTCAAAAACAGGAGGCATGACTGACTTCTTTTAACAAGGTGTTGTGAGGGTGTTGTAAAGGTTGTGATGGGCTCAGTTGTGATGGGCTCAGTTTTGATGGGCCCATTTAACCTCATTCAAGTACTAAACATAATGCTTCTGCAAATGCCTCAGTTATCTAGCAAAAAGGGTGAAAGTCAGGGTGGTTTGGTGCAAATTGAGCCCCTCTACTGGAAAACTACCCAGAGGGTATGGTCTGATGAGGGCAAGTTATAGTAATGTCATCTACATGTGAAGAGGGTGACAGACGGAGAGTTAAACATGCCCATGTAGCCTTTATTAGCTATAAAGTCGAATGATCTCTTCCACTGGACAGATAGATGGTTAATTATTTACAAAGCGCAAAAACAGTGAATATGTTTTAAGAGGGGAAAATACTGAGGTTTTCTAACTAAATGATGCATGAGATTATTATTAAGAAACATAAAGAACTTAGTTGAGAAGGAAAGACAGTTTTAGGGATGGGGAAGTATAGGTTCAGGTCTTGCTGGAGAATTAACACAGAACAGGTAGCTTCTAGGTGTCCTTAAAACACTCCCTTCTCCACTAGGTTCTGGACTCCAACATGCACATCTGTATAGCGAATCCTGTCTACTATACAGAAATCATCAGAAAATACTGCCCTACTCTGTTTTTTCCTTCTCTGCCCCATAAGATCGGCAGGAACCCACACTAGTGGGTTTTACCTAGTTTTATAAACTAGTTTTCAGTTTTATAAACTGTATGTGTCATCATTATCTTGAAGGCAGGCGTGAAGCCTCGTGGCCAGCATCCACCCCTCTCCAGAAGCAGGCTCTGAACTTTGGGTGGGGAGGGGACAGCCACCGCCTGCGCTAAAGACCTCCTTGCAGTGATCGGGAAATGAGCTTTCATATAGCCTCCCACATCTCTGTATTTCCCTCTCTCGCTCTCTTTTGAGACTAACCTGGAGTGCAGTGCAATGCAATCACGGCTCACTGCAGCCTCCTTTGACCTTCTGAGCTCAAGTGATCCTCTCACCTCAGCCTCCTGAGCAGCTGGGACTACAGGTGTGTGCCACCATGCCTGGCTAAATTTGAATTTTTTGTAGAAGCAGGGTCTCATTATATTGCTTGGATTGATCTGAGACACCTTGCTTTAAGCAATCCTCTCGCCTTGGCCTCCCAAAGTACTGGGATTACAGGTGTGAAACATCACCCCTGGTCTTTCCCTCTCTCTTAATATAATCAAAACCTATCTAGAAAACCACGAGAAAGCATAATTACCTGTGGAGTGAGATTGTGAAGAACCAGCCAGTAACTAGGACGAACTGAGCCACCATCACTCCAGGTAGAGGCTATGAGCAACCAGAAAAATGGTTAGGGAGAGAAATAAAAAAAAATCAAGAAAGCCATGAAGGAGAAACATTTTCATGTAGCCTACATTTCTTCTCTGCTTTTATAAACTGTCTCTCTTTTCCTCTGGACTCTGATCTCCTTTTTCTCTTCTACTGGTCCCTCACTCCTATGCACTCTTACGCCTCATTTGCAAGACAGTATTTTCCTCCCAGTGTTCTCACTCTGCCATTTTTTTTTTTTTTTGGAGACAGAGTTTCACTCTTGTTACCCAGGCTGCAGTGCAATGGCGCGATCTCGGCTCACCGCAACCTCCGCCTCCTGGGTTCAGGCAATTCTCCTGCCTCGGCATGCGCCACCATGCCCAGCTCATGTTTTGTATTTTTAGTAGAGACGGGGTTTCACCACGTTGACCAGGATGGTCTCGATCTCTTGTCCTCGTGATCCACCCGCCTCGGCCTCCCAAAGTGCTGGGATTACAGGCTTGAGCCACCGCGCCCGGCCCCACTCTGCCATTTTTACTCACTCATTTTACTCCATCTGTCCCTTGGGAGTTGTTGGGTCCCTTTGCCTTATACTGACTACGACTTTCACTCAAGAGGTAGCTTCTCCTCTATCAGAAGAAAAACCAGACAACCATGACTTCCTCTCTTGGGAAGACCTCTTGGTGTCTTCACCATCTGTGTTAACATAAGCCCCTTGTGGATGGACAATGGTGCTCCTTTAGGCAGATCCTCCTCACCCGAGGCGAGCCGCGAGTCCTGTGTCCCCCACCCCCTGACTGATCGGGGTGCTGTGCTGCTCCAGGGAGATGACGGTTTGGGGTTGGTCAGACCAGGAGGTGGGCGGGGCAGCGGTGTAGTGTTCCTGGAGGAAATATGGTTTTTCCACATCTTGTTGGAGAGATGAGTGGGATTGTGTCCTATGGGATCTGGGGACCATGTTGATTTGTAATCAGGGAACTTTGCTGTAAGAAGAGAACATTAAGGAAGGAAAGAGGTTAGATGGTTTACTTCTGTTGACACATACACCTGAGTTTTAATTACATACACATAAATACATGCACATTTATATTCTAAGAAGTAACAGTACACATTTTAAGCATGGCAATACAAAATAACTGTTCTTTGAGCATAATGAACAGAAACTTTTCAGTGACTACTACTCTGAATTGATAGAATTATCATATGAATTAAAGATTTAATAAGATAACTAATTCTCTACTGCTTTCTTAGCTAAAAATGACTTGAAAAGGAGGATGCATTCAAGGAGAAAGTCTTCCTAAAGACACTAGATTCTGGGTAACAGAATGTGAATCCTAGCAGAACTAAAGTATTCTATAAATACTCATTGACTGAATGGAAAGTAATTAGAAAATTACACTTGTGCCTTGATCCAGCATATTAGATATTGATGTTCAAACAGATTCTTTAAAAACAATCAAGAAATATTCACTAAGGGCTTACTATGCATACAGCATTAAATCAGTGCTGTGAGTAATATAAATAATTATCCCCAAGAACCTCAAGCTCAGATGGGAAGGCAGAACAGATGAGCAACAGAACTGGTGACCCCAATATCATCACATATGTTCAATACGCAGAGGAGATCAAGAATGCTGGGCCTGCAGCAAAGGCTTTACGAGGACAGCTCTTGAAGGAGTTACATAAATGGATGCGCACAAACAAACAGGAATGCGTAAACCAAGGTTCAACATAAACTCTCTCTATATGGAATATGATCCCCCTCAATTTTGGTTGAACAGTTCACAGAGGCAGAGAGGTAGAGGTGGTTATAAAGGTAGGCTGGGGACTCCTTAAGATACTATCGGGAGTTTTTTGCAACTGATTCAGAGTGGAGTGTTTAACTACTGTGACAGCAAATAGAATGGAACAGAGGAATAGATATTTGAAATGTGATTGCAGAATAAGCCACTAAGGACAAATCATCACGGCCTGGATCCAGGAATTACGGGAGACAGGAAAAAGGAAGAAAATACTGAGATTTTGTAACTAAATGATACATGAGATCATTATTAAGCAACATAGGCCAGGCACGGTGGCTCACACTGGGAGGCTAAGGTAGGCGGAATACTTGGCGTCAGGAGTTCAAGACCAGCCTGGCCAACATGGTAAAACCCCATCTCTACTAAAAATACAAAAATTAGCCATGTGTGGTGGTGGGCACCTGTAATTCCAGCTACTCAGGAGGCTGAGGCAGAAGAATCACTCGAACCTGGGAGGTGGAGGTGGCAGTGAGCCAAGATTGCTCCATTGCACTCCATCCTGGGCAACAACAGCAAAACTCCTTCTCAAAAAAAAAAAAAATAAATAAAATAACACAAAAATAATAAAAGAAAGAAAGAAAGAAAGGAAGAAGCATAAAGGCTGGGCGTGGTGGCTTATGCCTGTAATCCCAGCACTTTGGGAGGCTGAAGAGGGCGGATCACCTGAGGTCAGGAGTTCAAGACCAGCCTGGCCAACATGGTGAAATCCTATCTCTCTTAAAAAAAAAAAAAAAAAAGAAAGAAAAAGAAAGAAAAAAAAAGAAAAGAAAAGAGAAAAGAAAAGAAAAGAAAGAAAAGAAAAGAAAAAAGAAAAGAAAAGAAAAGAAAGACACTTTTGGGGGTGGGGAGTTTAGGTTCAGTTTCAGACAAGTCTGAGGTGATTCTTGGGCCATTTCTCAGGTGAATTTCCAATTGTTGGAAAAAGATACATAATTCAATCTGCGATATGGGCATTTATAGGAGTAAAAGAGTTGGGTAATCAGATTAAGTTTTTATATGTAAAAGAAATCCTACACAAGTAAAAGGTATTCAAAACACGAGACATTGAGATGTCTTCTTTACTTGCTAGGAACTGAGGCAAGTTATATCAGCTCTCAGAACCTCACTCAGTTTCTTTATCCACAAAATAGGGTTAACAACAGGACTTACTCATAGCCTTTGGTGAAGGTAAAATAAAAATTCGTGTGGAAGGTTTAGCATGATGCCTGGCCTGTGGGATCATTCAGTGAGTGGTAGGTTATGGCTGCACTACTGATATGACACCAAGGTAGGAAGAAAAGTAAGACAGTCAGCAGCCCACCAGTCTGTAGCACCTTCGTAGGTGGCCAAAGGTCTGCTTTATTTGCTTATGTGTTGCGCAAAGCACATTAAGTCATAATGACTTTAACAGCTTAAGGTCCAACTTTTGCTGAACCTGGCAATACTGAAGGTGCCAATACTAATACGTCTACCAATCAGTAAGGCACTGTGCTCAGTGAGTGACTTCAAACCCTTTATTATATCCACTAACTTTTCCATTTCCTATTGTCTTTCAAAAAACACGAGGAACCTACCAAATGAGGGTAAAATTAACCAAGGTTGTCTTTCTATTTTTCTCCCCTGGCCATCTGCCCCTAGCCTTTGTCTATAAGTGGGAGGATTTTTAGAGAATAGCCAGCGATAATTGGCTACTTTAGGAATAATAACCTGGTCTTAACTGGTTCTTCTCATGACCCATGGTTTCTTGGCAGCCTTGTTAAAAGAGAAGCATAGGTGTCATTAGGAGATGACTCCAGCCCTCTAAATATGCCAGCTCCCTGCAGTTATGTCACTACTGGTCTCATCCCAAAGTTGTATCTGCCTCATCCTCCCTGAGAGTAGAAGTTCCTCAAAGACATAGCAAATATAAAAGGTGTGCTTCCGTCTATACTGACCTATGCTACTGAACTGTCACAGTATACCTTATGAAATACATGCCAAATTTCCTTTATAAAAGGGAACCTGATGAAAAAGTGCTAACCAAAGGGAAACAAAAAATTTAAGCTCATACCTGAAGTGCTATGAACGTTGGTAAAGGAATTGTCAGAGGCACTGTAGGGCCAGGCACCAGGTGAAGGCAGCGAGGTGTTGAGGGAAGAATTAGACCCTTGGTAACAAAGAAGAAGAAGAAAATACTGAAGATAAATGTTGGTATAACCAGTAAAACCTTGAGAGTATTTTATTCAAACTTCAACAGGCTGGAGGACAAAATATGTCTGACAAATAAAGGTGAAAAGCAATATTCTGACTTTTTTTGGTTAAACTTTTAGGTATGAGCAAGTAGAAATGAAGTCACAGACTGACAACTAGGAAAATGCTGGGTGTTGAATATATAAGAGACGCTTTGCTCAATTACCTGTGGTGTTGTCCCGCAGCAGTTGGTGGTCAGTATCTACAATGGGAGATGTGGCTGTGCCCCCCAGCACACTTCCTGGGGTGACATAGGGGTCAGATTCAGGGTCAATGTTTTGGATACCTTTCCATGGCACTCCTGGTTGGAATTCTGAGACAAGGAAAACAAATATTAGAGCATGAAGGTTGTTAAAAAAAAATGATATAGTTTTTTTTTAATATAAGAAATGGGTCTGTGAGTCTGGGCGTGGTGGCTTACGCCTGTAATCACAGCACTTTGGGAGGCCAATGTGGGCAGATCACAAGGTCAGGAGTTTGAGACCAGCCTGGCCAATATGGTGAAACTCCGTCTCAACTAAAAAATACAAAAATTCGCTGGGCATGGTGGAACATGCCTGTAGTCCCAGCTACTCAGGAGGTTGAGGCAGAAGAATCACTTGAACCTGGGAGGTAGAAGTTGCAGTGAGCCGAGATCATGCCACTGCACTCCAGCCTGGGTGACAGAGCAAGACTCCATCTCAAAAAAAAGAAAAAAGAAAAGAAATGGGTTTGTGAAAAATATAAATACTGAATTTATATACTGATTTTCATCACAAAATTAAGGAAAAAAAATCAGCATGAACATATACTCCTGCCAACAGCATGCTTGTATTATAACACTGTCTGTGGGGTGAACTTGAAGCCACAGTTCGTGCCTGGCCCTGGTAACCTGATCCTCCTGCTCCCAGGAGACTTCAGGCCTGAAGGCAGGAAAAGCAGGAGTAAGAACTCTGGTGTTCATAAAAATGATCCAAGTATCTAGGCCAGGAACCGGGTGAAAATATGGACTAAAGATCAGTGTCCTTTCTCATTTTCCTTACCAGATGTTGGCCAAAATGCAAAAAGTGTAATACAAATGCAAGATGGAACGTCCAGGGGTAATTTAGCTTAGCAAAAGAAAACCTAGAATATACATGAGAGCTCAGAATTTTTTTTATTGGTCAATTTAAATCATTTAAAAATTTTAAAGCTGTGTGATAGGATAAACTTTCATTTTCCCAATTGTTATGAGAAAGAGCAACGTGTACCATATATGAACGATCTACATTATACAATTTTACTTTAATAAAATGAAACTATACATATTAGTGTCACAAATATGTATGCACAGAGAGAGGTCTACGAGGACATATATTTATGGAATTATTGATTTTAATTTTTGCTTTATTAAATGTTCCCATTTTTCTAATATGAGAATAGATTACTATGTCCAACAAAAGAGAGGGAGAGAGAAAAAAATTAACAAATAATTTCATTGCAATCACTACTGCATACTTAGAACCTAACTGATAATAAATACTTGCCTGAGACCTAACAAATCAATTCAACAGACACTTCAAAAGAACCCATGTTACAAGGCATCCTATGCATGGGACGAATGCCAAGGCCCAGCTACAATGTCACTTATCTCCAGATTCCCCATCTAACGAAAATTTTCTATCTTCCCACAGCATATGCCTTGCTCGGTCACCCAGGCTGGAGTGCAGTGGCACAATCTTGACTCACTGCAACCTTTACGCCTCCCAGGTTCAAGCAATTCTCCTGCCTCAGCCTCCTAAGTAGCTGGGACTACAGGCGCGCGCCACCATGCCCAGCTAATTTTTGTATTTTTAGTAGAGACGGGGTTTCACCATGTTGACCGGGATGGTCTCGATCTCTTGACCTCGTGATCCACCCAACTTGGCCTCCCAAAGTGCTGGGATTACAGGTGTGAGCCACCGCGCCTGGCCTAACAATTATTGAATGAAAAAATGAAAGCAAGTGCCTTAGTAACATGAGTCACAAAAGCAATGTATTCTGAACCTGAAACTGACAATTACAAAATAAATGCTATCATAGAAAAGCATTTCCTGGACAATACCTGGAGGCCAACTGGCATTGCTGGATTTACTTCCGATTTTATTTGTTGGTGGAGATTTGGCAGGTAACCAGCTATCACCAGCAGGACCCGTATGGCCACCCAGTGTGTCACCAGGGATGATATCAAACTGGTTGTACGGTGACCCTCCCCGGGTCTTACCAGGGGCCACTATAGCGCCTGAGAAAAGAGAGGAAATTAATTCATCCAGAGTAACTCCTATGAATGGAACTTTTGTCTATTTTTTATTCATTGGAACTCAGTCTTCTGAAGCTGATGGAGTACATACAAACAGTACTGGAGTAAGAGGTTTCATTAGAGACTCAGCGCATAATTACTAAGCAGCAAGACCATGAACAAGTCATTTCACCTCTCTGAGCCTCTGAGTTCCTTATTTAGGCACACAGGATTGTTCTCATGCTTGAATGTTCCTTTCAGTTTTAAAATTCCATGGTCTTATGAAATTAATGAAATGTTCACAAACTAGCAATCTTATCATTATACCTAGCTTCTATGCTAATGACCCAAGAGTGAGAAATGGGGAAAATTCTAACAATCTGTAGCACATAAGAAGGTTTTAACTAAATTTCCACTGATGCTATCCACCCAGGTTCTTAAGGGCTGGCTGATCAGGCTTAGATTAGCTGGAAGCAGCAGTATAAACAGAGAGTCCATTGGAGAGAAAAGCATCTGCAATTGCTTTAAATTCCAAGGCAATGAGATGGAATTCCCGCCTAGGGTCTTTGCCAGCACAAGACCAGCAATGAACTCTGCAGCTCTGGGATCCATGGCCTCACACATAAAGAACAGCAAATCCTTTGTAACTGCTTTCCTTAGAGCATTTCAGTGGTTTTGCCGGTGCCCCAACACGCATTTTATATGCTACGGGGCAGGAAAATAATTAAAAGCTTAAAATTGCCTTGAACTAACAAAACATGCATTTTAAATAAAATTTTAGGAGTCAGTGAGATACCAGTCTACTTATTTCTCAAATGAATTTTACATACTGTATCGGGTCACTTGACCTATTCTTAGGATGCTGCTTGTGAAGGGATAAAATTATTTCCAGGGTGATGCAGCCTAATGGGAGTATTATCAGAACTATCTCCATGTGCAGCTAAGAGGACATTTGCTTTTCTGGAGCTACTGACAAATCTGGCTCAGAGGCACATTATGGTGAAGCGGTGGAAAATGCAAAGCTCAATTACTTTGGGGATTGCTAAGGAAACGTGAAAACATGATCCACAAGCTCTAAAAAGGCAAGTAGAGATTTTGTCTTTGAGATGTCATCTCACGTGCTGTTTCCTATTTATTATCATGCACCTATCACGTCTTTGGGGACAAGGGGACCAGGTGAATCATCAGCCTAAGGAGGCACTGAAAGCGCCCAAAGCTATAGCTGACAGTGGGCTTGCATTATTCCATCCACAAACAGATTTTACAATGTCAGTAAATCATTTTTGTCTTCATGTCATAAAACCAAATGATAATGCTGAGGGATGGCAGGCAGAGAGCTCCATGTGGTTTTTTCACCAGCCTCCCGGATGGGCTTATTAAAGAGTGGTTTATAAAGGAAACCTGAAAGGCTTCAGACTGAATGACTTGGCTGGGGCTGAGGCCTGCCAGGGCGCTGCAGCAGGAACAGCCAGACACCTCTTTATACTTGGTTCTCACGGATACAGTTAAGTCCAAGTGAATTACTGTCAAGTGAAACAAACCCTGAAACAAAGGCTGAAGGAAGGTTCTGAGACCTTCTATCTGTTTTACAGAGAAACAGAGAAGCCCTTACAGAGAATAATCGAGAGGAAAAGCCGACCCACATCACAACCAAAGCCTGCAATACCCTTAAATGCTGTCTTGCAGACACTCTAATTCACATAGAATAAGAAAGCTTTGTGAAAAGTTCAAATCTCATGTATTGTGATCTACCAGTCATCCTTTGAAGATTAAAAGGCAGGACATTTTTTTTTTAAAGCTGATGAACTTAATATGGTTCAAATAACCAACAAGATCAGTATTTGTTATGATTCCTTGCTCTGCAAAGCAAAGCAAAACAAACTCAACTCAACAAGCTGACTCTGCTCCCTCAGCCAACTTATTAGGGCTTCACCTTGGTGGGTACCCAAGTTCACTGCTACCACCTTCAATGATGGTAGCTGAAAAATTCTGCTCCCCTTAATTAGAGCTAGTACTTTATATTTCTTATAATTTAACATACATGTGACTCTGTCCTTCCTCCATAGGCGATCACAGGATTCAGGAAGAAAAGAATACCAAGAGACTCATTAAGAAAAAGCTAAAGTTCTGTACTTGAAAACAGTATTATAGGATGTTTCATCAAGACCTGCTGAGGGTTGGGGCTCTAACTTTCAGTGCTTCTCTTACCATTTTTGTGCATATTGGCTTCCTGTGTGGCTACAGAGGGCAGCCCCTCCATCATGGAGGTCCACTGTTTAAAGCGAGACTCAGTTCCAGCCTCCTTCCCACCAACCATGCCATAGTCCATGCCGCCAGAGCTGAAGCCTAAAAAGGAGAAGACCACATTTTTTAAGTCTCTAGCAACAATAACAAGAGTTCTGAAGCAGGCCCCACGAATGCCTTCAGGTGTCATTCAAAGACGAATTCACCAAGTTTCTCCATTCGAAACAGTTATTTTTGATTCCAAGTTTAGGCCTTGGCTCTTGCTTCCTAAAAAAGTGATGTCTCTCTGTGAAGGTATTAAGAAGTGTATGACTGCCATGGATTAGCTCCGTCTCAGTGCATTCCTGCAGGCCCTTTTTCTTTTTCATTCAGATGACATATGTCCCAGGCAGGATGCTGGGACTAGCCATTCTCCAACTGAGATGGGGAGGACTACATCCAACCAGTGTAGCCCAACAGCAGTGACAGAGCTGTCATCAGGGAATCTTGGGGAAGGAGAGGCTTTGCAGAAGGGACACGTGAGCTAGGGCCTAAGGTAGGTATTTGGGGAAGTCAAGGAAACCAGGTACATTTAGGGAATGGTGAGAGATTCAAACGACTCCAATGTTTAGCTAACTCTGGGAAGAAGTGAGGTGGGGAGTGGTGGGGGTGTGGAGAAATGAAGAGTCACGTCATGTAGGGTCTTTATATATCATACCAAGGAATAGGACATTTTTTTTTCCTCTAAGACAAGAGATAATAGAAATTTTAGGCATGTGAGAGGATAACTAATAATGTATTTTAGGAAGAGAATTGGCAGCCTTGCGATGGGCGGAGGTCAGGGCAGAATCTGAAAGATAAATTTGAAAGTAGTCTTTAAGCAATGGGGAAGACCCCAAAGCTTGAATAGGTGAGTAGTTAAGAGTTCTCAGTTCACTTTGCCATGAGCCCCAGGTAAGCTTCAGGGGAAGAGTCTTGGGCAGTGTTCTCCCACTGCACAGAGCTGGAGAGCTGAAGCCACACAGCAGAAGCTGGGTAATAGAGTGTAACAGGATCCATCATCCATTTGGGTCAGAAAATATGTGACACTTGCTCATACAAACTCTCAAAAAAGTAAAATAAAGGACTAAAACAGATGAAACAGGGGAGGGGAAAAACAATAAATGACCACAGAAAAATGAGAATGAGCCACAGGAAGTGCAGAGCAGCAGCATGAACGCAGGCACCCCAGGGAGGTGAGCAAGGCTCCCACCACGGCAGAGCCAACCTACCCTGCCCCAAGATGTGTAACTCCAGCCAGGCCAGACTCCACACTGCACCCACGGTGGGTCCTCAGTTTCCATCTATCCAAATCCCACTGAGGGCCCAGGTTGTGTTTTTCTTCCCCTGTGCTTATTTTAGTTGTCTGGGATAGTTTTATAGAAGCATAATAAATCAAGTAAAAATCTAACACCTTCCTGACCCATGGTTAAAAATGTGCTATTTATATAAAGAACAGTGTTCTTTCATACATTGTAACTGAATTTCCTAGTTCAAAATGATTGGTAGGTGGGGGTGGGGAGCAGAAATCTTTAGAATGAGATGAAAATATTTCAAATGAAATTATTATTATTTTTTGGAGATGGAGTATCACTCTGTTACCCAGGATGAAGTGCAGTGGCGTGATCTCGGCTCACTGCAACCTCCGCCTCCCGAGTTCAAACAATTCTCCTGCCTCAGCCTCCCAAGTAGCTGGGACTACAGGCACACGCTGCCACACCTAGCTAAGTTTTTGTATTTTTAGTAGAGACAGGGTTTCACCTCGTTGCCCACGATGGTCTCGAACTCCTGAGCTCAGGCAATCCACCCGCCTCAGCCTCTCAAAGTGCTGGGATTACAGGTGTGAGCCACTGCGCCTGGCCTTATTATTTTTTAAAGAAGAGTTTGAGGCATATTTTTCCTTCTTTCATCCTAGGTAGCAGAAATTAGATTGGAGGGCACAGAAGTTGCAAGGAACAAAGGTTTTCTCTGACATAAGCCTTAATGGCCTAAACAGGTTGCTCCTTGGGTAAATTACACTTCTGCCTTTGAGAAAACCAGGCCATGGTGCTTGGATTCCAGGCCACCTGAAAGCTCAGTTCTAATAACCAAGAAAGAGCTTTTGGAAATAACCTAGGATTCTGGCAAAGATTAAAAAGAATGCTAAGATTAGTAAGAAGAGGAGGAACCATTCCTTATACATTTTCTTTGAAGTTATTCTAAAATTTTCTGTAAGACCCATAGTAAATTAAATTTTTTTTCTTTTTTTTTTTTGAGACGGAGTTTCGCTCTTGTTGCCCAGGCTGGAGTGCAATGGCGTGATCTCGGCTCACCGCAACCTCCGCCTCCTGGGTTCAGGCAATTCTCCTGCCTCAGCCTCCTGAGTAGCTGGGATTACAGGCATGCGCCACCATGCCCAGCTGATTTTTTGTATTTTTAGTAGAGATGGGGTTTCACCATGTTGACCAGGATGGTCTCGATCTCTTGACCTCGTGATCCACCCGTCTCGGCCTCCCAAAGTGCTGGGATTACAGGCGTGAGCCACCGCGCCCGGCCCAAATTTCTTTAATTTTAGCTGCTTAGAGTTTTTTTCTGGTGACAAATGAAATGCAGAAAATTAAATAGTCATAGGAAAAGGGCAAAAAGGCCAGGTGCAATGGCTCACCGGCACTTTGGGAGTCCAAGGCGGGCAGATGATGAGGTCAAGAGATCGAGATCATCCTGGCCAACATGGTGAAACCCCATCTCTACTAAAAATACAAAAATTAGCTGGGTGTGGTGGTTTGCACCTGTAAACCCAGCTACTCAGGAGGCTGAGGCAGGAGAATCGCTTGAACCTGGGAGGCGGAGGTTGTAGTGAGCTGAGATCTCACCACTGCACTCCAGCCTGGGTGACAGAGCAAGATTCCATCTCAAAAAAAAGAAAAAGGGCAAAAAAAAGAAAAAAAATCAAAAAAAAGAGAAAAAGAAAGAAGAGGAAAGAAGGAAAGAGCTCAGCAGCTCCATGAATCTTGGGGACAGTGGGCACCTGATTCATTAGAGACTTGGGGTTCAAATGCCACCACAGTAGGGCAGTCCCAGCACTGGCTCACAAGGTTTGGTCAGGAAAAATTATTCAAGGGGTCAGAGAACGAATAGGTGAGGATATTGTCTTGAAAGGTTCAATCTATAAGCATGAAAGTATGAGAGGAAAAATCAGGCGAAGATGTATATAATTTTCTTTGATGTCACGTGGTAATTGGCATGACACTAAGGTATGGCATATGTCCGACGTATTTTGATGGAAGGAATTTTGGGGCACTGTGCTCTATGGCTGCATTAACAAAGAATAGACAGTGCTTTGCTAGTGACCTTTGGTTATTTACAAGCTATCGTGTCTCTAAACCAAAGAAAATACTGACTTCATTGTACTTTCTACTACAGCAAAACTAAATTTCCTCAGTACAACCAAGTGGTTTCCCTGAAATTTCCAACTCACAAACAGTGATTTAGCTCAAATTAAGCCATTTAGTTCAGTTCAATGAGTATTTATGGACAGTCTAATCTCTGCCAGGCCCTGTGTTAGGAGCTGAGGTACAAACAGAGATAAGACATGCCCCTTGCTTATCACCTGCTTTTATCATTCTTGAAAGGACAGCCCTTTGCCTGCCTCATCTGTCCTTGGCAGACTCACCTTCTCTCATCTCCATACACCCTAATTCATGGTCTATTCATGAAAAACATTTGGCTCCATTCTTATATCCTTGAGGAAATGCTCTTAAATTAACTTGTCCTTACACTGATCTTGCCTTCACTCTCTTTGTTTACAGTTCTGTTGTCTGCTCCTCTTTTTCCTATATATTAAAAAACAAACTACTGTTTTTATAACTATAAGTATTATTTTAAAAAAATCACCCATAGCCGGGCGCGGTGGCTCACGCCTGTAATCCCAGCACTTTGGGAGGCCGAGGCGGGTGGATCACAAGGTCAAGAGATCGAGACCATCCTGGTCAACATGGTGAAACCCCGTCTCTACTAAAAATACAAAAAATTAGCTGGGCATGGTGGTGCGTGCCTGTAATCCCAGCTACTCAGGAGGCTGAGGCAGGAGAATTGCCTGAACCCAGGAGGTGGAGGTGGCGGTGAGCCGAGATCGCGCCATTGCACTCCAGCCTGGGCAACAAGAGCGAAGCTCCGTCTCAAAAACAAACAAACAAACAAACAAAAAAAATCACCCATAATTGGCCATCCTAACACAACTGTTCAAAATCCATGTCCACCCATACACCTGGTATTGATACAATCATAATTGCAGCATGGATATAATTACTCTTCTGTCATTTTTTACAATCTCCAATATTTATACAGCTTTGATTTTCACAGGGCATACCACACAGATAAATACTATAAATTTTGATAAATTTTAAACATCAAAAGTGAAATTTTATTAGAAATGCACTTTCTAAGAAGATGAACTACTTACTTTGTTTCTAAATGAGTTCAGATATCCACGGTAACCAAGACTCCTTACTAGAATGAGAGAGAGTTTTCTCTACTGTCTTATTTTAAATTTTTCTTGTTGACATAAAGTGCTAAGAAATCTTACTCATATAAATAAGTAGATGGGAATAGAAGGAGTCTTGTTATAACATGAATTACTTCTCTGAATTTCTTTTAAAGTATATGTTCTTTGCCCTAGCCCAGTAACACAGATACTAAAATATAATTTTTAGATAGGTCATTATCACCTAACATTTCAATTCAATGAGGTATATTTTCTTTTTTTGAGACAGGGAGTCTTGCTGTGTCACCCAGGCTGGAGTGCAATTGTGAGGTCTCGGCTCACTGCAACCTCCGCATCCTGGGTTCAAGCTATTCTCCTGCCTCAGCCACCCAGGTAACTGAGAATACGGGTGCACGCCGCCACGCACGTTTAGGAGAGACAGAGTTTCACCATATCGGCCAGGCTGGTCTTGAACTCCTGACCTCGTGATCTGCCTGCCTCAGCCTCCCAAAGTGTTGGGATTATAGGCATGAGCCACAGCAACAGGACTGTGATTTTAGTTTCTTAACAACTAACTGAGGAAATAATGCAGATGTTTTTCCCTGGGCTTTATCTGATCCATTCTGAAAATGTGCATTAAAAAAAGAAAATCAGTGTCACTAATACATGCTGTTCAAGCTGTTAAGAGTACAAAGAGAATTGAAAAGAACTGTGTGCATTTAAATATGTGAAAGGCTGCTTCTGACTTTCAGAAACTCTTTCTTTGCACTGACTGGACTCTACCTTCAGAACTATGCACTCTTTGATAAACAGGGATGAAAGAGGTAAGTCACCCTGCTTTATTGTCACGTTGTGTCTAAATTCAGGATAGCTCAACACATTCCAAGACATCTAGCCAACTTGATTAAGAAGGAAATCTGGCTGGGTAAGGTGGCTCACATCAGTTTGGGAGGCTGAGGGGGGTGGATCATGAGGTCAGGAGTTTGAGAGTAGCCTGACCAGGCTGAGGCAGGAGATTTGCTTGAACCAAGGAGGTGGAGGTTGCAGCGAGCCAAGATCGTGCCACTGCACTCCAGTCTGGGTGACAAAGTGAGACTCTGTCTCAAAAAAAAAAAAAAATAATAATAATAATAAATCAAAAGGCCTGGGTACCGTGGCTCACGCCTGTAATCCCAGCACTTTCGGAGGCCAAGGCAGGTGAATCACGAGGTCAAGAGATTGAGATCATCCTGGCCAACATGGTGAAACCCCGTCTCTAGTAAAATGCAAAAATTAGCTGGGTGTGGTGGCACACGCCTATAGTCCCAGCATCTGAGGAGGCTGAGGCAGGAGAATCGCTTGAACCCAGGAGGAAGAGGTTACAGTGAGCTGAGGTCTCGCCACTACACTCTAGCCTGGGTGACAGAGTGAGGCTCCATCTCAAAAAAAAAAGGAAATCCGGCATAAGGACACCTTTGTTAGTAATCAAGGGAGGCTCCCCCATGCTTGGTACCCTGGTGTTCTGCAGCCCAGATGAGCACACAGTAAAAAGATGTGAGATGACAGCAGAACTGCCCTTCTTCTATGTCAAATATAAGAAAGGTTATTTCAAGTCAGTTCGCAGGCAGATCACCTTTAAGAAAACAGGCCGGGTGTGGTGGCTCACGTCTATAAGCCTAGCACTTTGGGAGGCCAAGGCAGGCAGATCACCTGAGGTCAGGAGTTTGAGACCAGCCTCACCTACATGGCGAAACCCCATCTCTACTAAAAATACAAAAATTAGCTGGGTATGGTGGTGCATGCCTGTAATCCCAGCTACTCAAGGAGCCTGGTGTGGGAGAACTGCTTGAACTTGGGAGGTGGAGGTTGCAGTGAGCCGAGATTGAGCACTGCACTCCAGCCGAGCCAACATAACAAGACCCCCCCTAAAAAAAAAAAAAAAAAAAAAAAAAAAAAGAAAGAAAACCGTTGGTGGAAGCTGAGGATCTACAAAGTAAATCTGTTAAAATATCAAGCTCAAGAACACCTTGAAGTCTTGGCTCAACCCCTGTACGTGAAGTAGGAGAATCACGGGGTTGGCACACAGTCAGCCAGTGCCATTTGTCCAGGGTCACACTGTCAGCTAGAGCCAGCAATTTCATGTCTTCCCAACTCTTGTTTTTTTTGTTCTGTTTTGAGACAGAGTCACTCTGTTGCCCAGGCTGGAGTACAGTGACACAATCTAGGCTCACTGCAACCTCCACCTACTGGGTTCCAGTGATTCTCTTGTCTCAGCCTCCCTGGAGCTGAGATTACAGGTGCCCGCTACCAACGCCTGGCTGATTTTTGTATTTTTAGTAGAGATAGGGTTTCACCAAGTTAGTCAGGCTGGTCTCAAACTCCTGACCTTGTGATCTGTTGCCCTGGCCTCCCAAAGTGCTGGGGTTACAGACTTGAGCCAGCGTGCCCACCTCAGCTCTTGTTCTTTGAGTGTGCATAGAACAGTATCTTCTCTACCAGATAAATTCTGAAGAATTTATCTTCTTTATCAAGATAAATTCTAAATGTTGTCAGTTTGAGGTGAACTGTGGTGGCGTGTGGTATCTTTTCCATTTTAAAATTTTATTTTGAAATCACTGTTTCCTCCCTGATTAGATTCTGCTTATAGCATGTTTTCCAGTTCTGAAAGAGCCATGATTTGCCTGCCAAAAAAATTCTTGAAGAATGTTAAGGGCATAACCTTACTTGTTCTAATTCTATTTAAGCCAAATGAAATACTAATATCAGACGAATTTTTATCAATGTGCATTACAATTTTAGTTCCTCATTTTTTCAACAGAAGGCAACTTTATTTGAGTAGAGTAAAACACTTCAAAATAGTTCATATTCTAACAGATCATAACCTCAGCCATGTATGCCACTCACACAGCATGCACAAACATTTAAAGAGGTTTTTAAAAACTCCTAGTGGTAGGAGAGCAGTTTGCCATTCACACACATGTATTAAAAGACTGCTCTGGAGCCAGAGAATTTAGAGGCCTGTCTCTGCTGTTTAGTAATCATGTGGTGAGCTTTGGAAACCCACTGAAACTCCAGAAGCCTCAGATGTCTCCTCTGTACACCAAGGGTAAGAATATTTACCTACCTTGTACGGCTGGCATAAAAACGGAGGGTGATGCAGGCACAGCCCCTACCACAGGCCTAGACAGGCAGATTGCTAAGAAGGTAATTTTCTCTACTAACAACTTACCAGAACCATATCCAGGTATTGGCCCTTTGGTTTGAAGGTCTGGGAGCCCCACATTCAATGCGTTGGGTACCATGTTGTCCAGATGCGGCTTGGGCCCGACGGGATGAGAGGGCGAGTGCTTCATGCCTGGCTGCCTCTGCTGCTGCTGCTGCTGCTGCTGCAATGCACTCACCATTCGAGCCAGCTGGTGGCCAAGAGAGACAGACACGTGATAAGCACGGACCAGAATTTCCCAGGAGGAGACTGCACCCGGTTCCTCTTTGCCATCAGAGGCTAAGCCGGGATGTACTCCTCAAAGACAGCACTGGAGGGACCCTGCCCACCCACATACCTGCTGCTCTTGCTGTTGGCGTACAGCTTGAGAAATCTTTCTCTGGTTCTGTAACAACTGCTGCTGTTGCTGCTGTTGCAAGAGAAGCTGACATGCCTACGAAACAAGGGAGAAAGACAGAGAACCAAAGTTTCCTAAGACTGATTTACGGAGAACACCTTGAGGGTCTGTGCACTGGTACGGGTCACATAGTCAAAAGTATCCAAGAGTGAAGTAACACCAAATTCCTGGTCTCTTGGTTACGTTTTCCTCCAGTTGAGTTGACAACCCTTAAGCACACTCCATAGTTGGTATAAAAGTGTAGACTAGCACCCTTTGAACATAGAGGCAAAGATGCAGGAAGCAATCAAAGCTAAAGAAAGAAAAAAAAATGACCTTTTTAGCTACAGGAAGAAAATCTGCTACTTACCAACTGAAACTGGGGAATTTGTGGAAGCTGGCTCAGCATGGCGATTTGTTGAGGAGATAACTGGGGCCCCACATTGAAAAGACCTGGACTCAGGCCACTGCTGGGAAACTGCTTGAGCATTGAGGCAGAAACCTAGCCAAAAAAATTAAAAAGAAAGAAAAGGAATCTTTAGAATTTATCAAAATAAAACTTTTTTCCTGTGAAAAGAATCTTGATGAATCTAAAGCAAGTGTTCTCAAACTTTTCTGTGAAAAATATGTAACAGGAAAAATACACTGAAGTGTTAACAATGATTATCCTGGAGGAGTGCAATGGCAAGAGCTTTTAAATTTTCTTCTTAGACTTTCCAGTTTTTTTTTTTTTTTTTGTTTTAGAACGGAATTTCGCTCTTGTTGCCCAGGCTGGAGTGCAATGGCGCGATCTCGGCTCACCGCAACCTCCGCCTCCTGGGTTCAGGCAATTCTCCTGCCTCAGCCTCCCGAGTAGCTGGGACTACAGACACGCGCCACCATGCCCAGCTAATTTTTTGTAGTTTTAGTAGAGACGGGGTTTCACCATGTTGACCAGGATGGTCTCGATCTCTTGACCTCGTGATCCACCCGCCTCGGCCTCCCAAAAGTGCTGGGATTACAGGCTTGAGCCACCGCGCCCGGCCCCAACTTTCCAGTTTTCTACAATAAAAAGTATAAACTGTATATTCAGGAAAACATCCTCAAGGAAAAAAAATTGATGACAATATGGCTTTTATCCAATTGAGAAATTATTACTGGAAGTGTGCCATAAAACAAAACATACTCAATTGCATAAAGCTAACAAATACTACTACATGAAAGGATTTCTGTGACACAAATAAGACAAATATGCTAACTTGTAAATAGGAGACCTAAGTTTCAACTCATGGCTTCTGACAGCAAACACCCACAGAGTGGTAGTGTAAAAAGACAGCCAGCATAAAAGAGCCTGGAAGGGCCGGGTGAGGTGGCTCACTCCTGTAATTCCAGCATTTTGGGAGGCTGAGGTGGGTGGACCATGAGGTCAAGAGATCGAGACCGACCTGGCCAACATGGTGAAACCCCATCTTTACTAAAAATACAAAAATTAGCTGGGCATGGTGGTGTATGTCTGTAGTCCCAGCTACTCAGGAGGCTGAGGCAGGAGAATTGCCTGAACCTGGGAGGCGGAGGTTGCAGTGAAGGTGCCACTGCACTCCGGCCTGGGTAACAGAGAGAGACACCAGCTCAAAAAAAAAAAAAAGAGTCTGGAAGGTCACTGGCTTGACAGGGTCCTTCTCCCTGTTCTCAGGAGTGAGCTAGGCTAGGCTGCAGGAAACTCTGGGACAGAGAAAGGATTCCCTCCCATCTTTGGTTTGCTGCTCTAAGATGATCTAAGTAAGCAGAAATGAGTTTCCCTGCATCCTCATCTACTCAACCCACCGGACCAGTTGGGGCCATGGAGAACAAATGTGAGAACACGCCCATGAGTGCCAAGTTGTGTAGCATACTAGTCAAGACTTTAGTTCTACAGGCTGGGCACAGCGGCTCACGCCTGTAATCCCAGTAGTTTGGGAGAATTGTCTGCACCTAGGAGACTGAGAACACCTGGGTGACATAGCAAGACTCCCCCCACCCCCCATCTCTTAAAAAACAAAACAAAAGGTTAAAAAAAGGCTTTAGTTCTACAGGCTGGGCACAGTGGCTCACGCCTGTAATTCCAGCAGTTTGGGAGAACTGTCTGCACCTAGGAGACTGAGAACGCCTGGGCAACATAGCAAGACCCCCCCATTTCTTAAAAAAAAAAAAAAAAAAAAAAAGGTTAAAAAAAGACTTTAGTTCTTAAGGCCACGTGCGGTGGCTTATATCTATAATCCCAGCACTTTGGGAGACTGAGGTGGGCGGATCACCTGATGTCAGGAGTTGGAGACCAGCCTGACCAACATGGAGAAACCCTGTCTCTACTAAAAATACAAAAATTAGCCAGGTATGGTAGCGCATGCCTGTAATCCCAGCTACTCGGGAGGCTGAGCCAGGAGAATTGCTTAAACCTGGGAGGGGTAGGTTGCAGTGAGCCGAGATCACGCCATTACTCTCCAGCTTGGGCAACAAGAGTGAAACTCCGTCTCAGAAAAAAAACAAAAAAAACAAAAAACAAAACAAAACAAAAACAAAAACAAACAAACAAACAAAAAAACCAAAAAACTTTTGTTCTAGAGGCAGACTGCCTGAGCTTTTAATCCCAGCTCTGCCCGCCTCCATTTTTTTTTTGTTTTTGAGACAGTGTCTCACTCTGTCACCCAGTCTGGAATGTGGTGGTGTGATCATGGCTCACTTGACCTCCCGGCTGGTCTCAAACTCCTGGGCTCAAGCCATCATCTCAAAGTGCTGGGATTACATGTATGAGCCACCACTCCCAGCCCAGCTCTGCCATTTCTAAGCTGACTCACAGAAAGTTACTTATTTAGCCTTTCTGACCCTTACTTTCCTGATCTCCAACTGGAATGACAACAATATTAACTTTAGTCATTATTAGATTTTATGAATTAATCCACATCAAATGCTTAAGAGATGTTCTCCATAAATGTTCACATTGTTCCACAGGCTGGTTCTTCAAGTGTCTTCAGATGATGAATACAGTTCCCTTGCATCTCATCTTCAGGCTCAATATGATCAGTTCTTTCACTTGTATCTCCTTCCATTTCTCAGTGAGGAGCCAAGAACAGAAAGGCATTTTCTAGAGTAGTCTAACACCAAGCAAGCCTGGCCATACCTAACCATTCTGTTAAAAGTCATGCTTTCATTAATAATGCCTATGATGTCACTTTCTCTGGTCATCACAGCTGTCAATTCACACACTAAGCTTAATGTCAGTCAAAATCTGTAATATTTAAAAATATGTTTTTGTTCCCTTATGTAATATTTAACCTATGTAGTGGGGTTTTCAGTTTTTATTGATTTATTTTTTATTCGAGCTTAAGACCTTACATACATCTTTACAAGCATGGCATATAGTAGGTGTTCCATAAATACCTATTAAATGAATGAACCACTATCATATTTAACTTAAGACACTCCACCAAGTTCTTGTTGATCTTATTCTACCTATTTCCAGTTTGCGTTCCCTAGTCCCATCAAGGATGGGAATGCTGAACTTGATAGAGCTGAGGATAATCTAGTCATATGCTACTAAAGCCTCCTTCCAATATGCAACGATCAGCCTGGGAATCGTCAATCAGTTACTAATCCACACAACTGCTTTCATGTTTAGCCAATATCTTTCCATCTCGTCCAAAACAGACAGCTTGTCAAACGGCCTGTTAGAGATACAACAACTATATCATTCTTCTATGCCAGTATTTTTACCAGTCAATGAAGGGAGTGAATGAAAACTTGTTAGCAAACTATGATAATTAATTACTGCCATATGTACTTTTGATAATCTAGATTATCAAAAGCAATCTTACTGATAATCTAGATTCTTTCCTGGAATTGGGACCAAGTTCATCAGTCTTTTAGCTACTTTTTCCTTATTTCTCCTTTCAGAAATCATTTTAATAATTTCCCCAGGCTGGGCATGGTGGTTCCCGCCTGTAATCCCAGCACTTTGGGAAGCGGAGTCAGGCAGATCACTTGAGGCCAGGAGTTCGAGATCGGCTTGGCCAACATGGCAAAACCATGTCTCTACCAAAAATACAAAAAACTAGCTGGGAATGGTGGCAAACGCCTGTAATCCCAGCCACTCAGGAAGCTGAGGCACAAGAATCATCTGAACCCAGGTGGTGGAAGTTACAGTAAGCAGAGATCGTGCCACTGCACTCCAGCCTGGAAGCCACAGTGAAACACCATTTAAAAAAAAAAAATAAAAAAATTAAAAAAAAATTCCCCTTTCTTCTCACTTGCTTATAGCCTCTTTCCTATTTCTGATCTGAGGCTCCATACAGAGGACATCCACGTTTATTTTAACACAGCACTCAAGGCCTCTTTCCCCTTCTTGGAAGCAAGCCTGGAGAGAGGACTGCCCCATTCCAGTGACTCCTGGTTAAGGCTGGAATTCAGTATTAGGAAGTGCACACGTTCTCCAGTATCTGCTTTATTGGTAGTAAAGGGGATACGGTGACCCCAATATGTTTTCCTTTTTTGCCTTAAACATTCAGAATGCAGGCAGGAAAGATGGGTGTCCTTGTTAAACTCCCCTTGAAGACTCCCAGAATTTCTCAAAAATTGTGGACAGGGCTCTGCAATTCTTTTCACAAATTCTTTCTCTGCTCTAGGATCTGTCTTAGCCCTTTTGGTTTAAACATCCTCCTTAACAGAAAAGACAAAAGTAACAAAAATTTTACCTCCACTCTGTAATCCCTGGGCATTATATAACCAGTCCAAGGCAATGATTCCTTTCTAGTCACCAAACCAAACTCTAAAGTTTCTTTTAATCTACCTACTTTTTTTTTTTTGCAAGTCTCAGCTTAGAGACCCTGTATTTTATTCATCCTTGCTTTTATACCCTTACTATCCATTTTCTGAAAATGTCGCATTATAAACTAAGTTTATCAGAAAGCTTCCCCATCCCTATTGGATCTTCTCATTTTATCATTCTTTGGCAGCATGGTCAGAATGAAATTCCTCAGTTTCCTAATACTTTTGATCCACCATCTCTGCTACATTGTCAAGAATATATGCCTATCTTTTCCTTCTTTTTTTTTTTTGGAAACAAAGTCTTGCTCTGTTGCCCAGGCTGGAGTGCAGTGGTGCAGTCTTGGCTGACTGTAACCCCCACCACCTGGGCTCAAGTGATTCTCCTGCTTCAGCCTCCTGAGTAACTGGGATTACAGGCGCCTGCCACCTCTCTGGCTAATTTTTTTTGTATTTGTAGTAGAGATGGGGTTTCACCATGTTGGCCCAGCTGGTCTTGAACTCCTGACAGGTGATCCGCCCACCTCCGCCTCCCACAGTGCTGGGATTACAGGTGTGAACCACTGCACCTGGCCTATCTTTTCTTTGACACTCTTGTAGTCTATAAACATTTGACCAAGTTCAGGTTTCCTGTATTTGGCTCACCAACTAATTTTCTCTCAAGATCTGTCACTTTCACTCTACCCATCAATTCTGTCATTTTGGAAAGTACTCTAATTTCAAGTAATA